TTTCTCAAGGACACAATACTGACAAATCATGTACTGTTCCTTGCGGATCGAACCAGCAGCTTTTCAGTTAGCAGTCTTAAGCTTTAATGCCTAGGCCACAATACCCCACATCTCTTGAATGATACTGGTCTGTATTCTCCTGTAATAATGGCCTTGCTCAGCACTCGTCTGACTCAGTGAGAATGTGACCGATTGTAGCTGAGCGCACTGACCCACAGAACACCCAGCTGGGCAGAGCAGATGCACTCTCAGCTGCTGGCAACCGGACTGGTGCAGATGTGTGTTTTGAGCCAAAGTTTAGCAAGAGGTTATGCAACCAGCGTAGCTTTGTGACTTAGAAGTGACCTCAGTGTGACTGGGAAAGGGGTGGAAGGCCAGATAAGAGGCATTTGTTCTTTGTGGGGATTTAGGATTTTAGGAATCATAGATATTAACCCACCTCAGCAAGCCACACGACTTGGGGTGTCACTTATGTTTGTAGCACAAACAGCACAGGACAATTTGCACACCAAAGTTTAATACATGGGCTTAAGGGTTTGTTCAGATCTCTTAAAACAAGTTCTACCAAACACGTAGACTGCAAGTTAGCCGTAATCTGTCTGACTGACCCACCTCTGCCCTCACCCCTCCAGTGTGAAACGCGAGGAGGAGCTGGAGTGGCTCAAGCAGGCCGAGGTGTTCTACTACAGCCTGGAGAGGAGCAATGCTGCTGGCCCTCAGCTCAAGCACAACCCCTGGAGCCTCAAGTGCCACCAACAACACCTGCAGAGGATGAAGGAGAATGCAAAACACCGCAACCAATACAGTATCCTTCAATGCTGCCACAAACAACAAAGGAGGATTGGTCTAGTGCAGTTTACTGCTGATTGTTAAATTATTCCGTAAATTTATATATTGTTCTGTTCAAACATTAGGGGTCAGTAAGGCTTGACCTAATGTTTTTTTAAAGAAATTAATACTTTAATTCTGCAAGGATGCATTAAATTAATCAAAAAAGACATTTAAAATGTTATAAAAGTTTTCTTTTTCAAATAAATGCTCTTATTTTGCTGTTCTTTTGCTTTCTATTCATCAAAGTATTCTGGGAAAAAAAGGATTACGAAATATAAAACATTAAGAGGCACTATTGTTTTCAACAATGAAAATAAGAAGTGTTTCTTGAACACCAACTCAGCATTTTAGAATGATTTATTAGAATGGTTTGAAGGATCATGTGACACTGATGACTGAATGAATACTGTAAATGCAGCTTTGCCATCACCGGAATAATTAAAAAAAATTAATATATATACAATATATAATATATATATATACACGTCACACATATATATATATTAATAATATTGATCTATTTTAATGTCTGTATATAATAATGATACATTATTACAGATTTATTTATTGCCAATGAAAAATGTATTTCAAAATTATGGTAATATGTCATTTTAAAGCAAATGAATATAGCAAATTTATAATTACATACAAAATATATTTAAGTTAATCATTTACATTTTAAAAGAAACAACTATTTTACCCAAATTTTACTTAAGTCACTAAAATATATATATATAGGAAAATCGCTACTCATTATTGTAGCTATTCAAACTGCACAACAAATAACCTGAAAAGCACATTTTTAAGTTTGTATTGCTATGCGGATTTACAATTAGAATGAAAACTGTGAGGTAAATTGATAAAACAGGCCTATTTATCATGCAGAAAAAACAGGTTAATTGTAGAGTAATACTGAAAAGAAATGAGAATCAGCGTTTCCTTTAACCTAGCACCTCTAATCAGAATTCATCCTGTTGGAGAACCTGACATGGCGCTACACAGTTCCATGCGTGCTTGATCTGAAGATGGGCACGAGGCAACATGGGGACGACGCCTCTGAGGAGAAGAAGGCCGTCCAGATCCGTAAATGTCAGCAGAGTACGTCCGCCAGCATCGGAGTGCGCCTCTGCGGCATGCAGGTTAGCCTAGCTCTTGAATGTAATTCCATAATATTAGAAACACTTAAAGGCAATGTTTTATTCATGCTCCTCTTCACTTTCCTCCAGGTCTACCATTCAGACACAGGGCAGCTCATGTTCATGAACAAGTACCACGGCCGTAAGCTGACCCTGTCTGGCTTCAAAGAGGCCATCTTTCAGTTCTTCCACGACGGGAGACGCCTAAGACGCGAGCTCCTGTCGCCGGTGCTGCGGAGACTGCGAGACATGCAGGCGGCCCTGGAGGCCTGTGAAAGCTACCGCTTTTACTCCAGCTCGCTCTTGATAATATACGACGGAGACCCTCCACGATCCCGCCACTCCGCAGAGGATGGGCTTTCAGAAGAGGAGGAGGAAGAAGAAGAAGAGGAGGAGGAGGAGGAGGAGGAAGAAGAAGAGGAGGGTGGTGCTTTTGGATTCCCTCACGGCACAGGTGCGGGCAGCAGCAGTAGCAAAAGCGGTGCTTGTGGCGGCAGCTCTGCTGTGGTGCGACGTATGACCAGATCAGACAGCGGCCCGGTGGTGGACGTTCGCATGATTGACTTTGCCCACACCACGTGTCGGCACTACGGCGAGGACAGTGTAGTCCACGAGGGCCAGGATAGTGGTTACATCTTCGGATTGGAGAACCTCATCACCATTATTTCGCAACTAGAGGACAACAGCACAGATTAAACCACAACCAGCATGGTTTTCGAATGGGAAAATGTTTCTTTCTCTTCCTCATTCTTTCAATCCCTCGAGACGTTCAGCTCAGTAAAATCTCAAAGTTCCACCTGTTCAGTTGTTTTTGGTTTCTGATTTTAGGATTTAAAAGGGGTGAGAAGCTAACGTTGAGACGTCACACGATCGGCTTCCTCCATGTTTAGTAGCCTCACTCATTTCCCCCGATGTACTGTTACAATGTTGCTGCCATTCCCCTTTTTGTTCTATTTATTGAGAAGATAAAATGGTTATTTACCGTAAAGGACCTGATTTCGTTTCCATGCTCATTCTTTGAGAAGGTTCCAGAACTTTGATTAGCTTCCAAGTGCTCCTTATTGGATGAAGGAATAGTAGGTGGCGATAAGGAAGACTGTTAATGCGCTACAGCACCCTCCCCTTGCACCTTTACCCATTGTGAAGAGACAACTATATTCAAATAGTTAGTTGATATACAGAGACTATAATAAAGCTTTATTTATTTGTCATATTTCCTAAATAAACTAAAAAGAAAAAACATTGAAAAAGTGAATGGGGATTCAAGAACTACATTCCATGTTATTAATGTTACAGTAATGATATTAATAAATATTATTATTTGACATGTTCAGATACCTCTATCTTATATCTGTTGTACACGGTATGTTGGAGGAAAAATAAAATTTGTTTGTGTTAAATTCTGGTCTTTGATTCGTTTTTTTAGCAAGATGTGCTGTGCTATCAATTAATCAATAAAACCCAGTTTAGGTCTTGAGTTGTAGATGCTAAACAAAGAATAGTGCAATAAAAAGTATTACGTTGATAAACGTGATAGTCCCAAAATGAAAATTCTGTTTTCATTTACTCCATGTCGTTCCAAACCTGAGACTCTTCTGTGGAACATAAAAGACATTTTGGTTACTGACAAAACAATTTGGTTATCAGCATTCTTCAAAATATCTACACTGGTGTTCAACAGAAGAAGGAAAGTCATACAGGTTTGGAATGACATGAGAGAATAAATGATGACACAATTTTTAGGGTAATCTATCCCTTTAAGAATTCGCTTTGAATGTTTTCTTTAGCTTTCACAATCCTCATAAAGAGACAGCGGAAAATCACTCTGCATTATCACAGGTTTTAAGGATGCTAATGTCTTGCCCTGTGTGAATCTTTTAACGCAAGGTGTCCTGACCCAGTGGCCTAACCTTTTCCTCTTTACTGGCTGTTTGACAATTCAGACTCTTGTCTAGGTTACAAACAGGCTGGTATCACTGTCACACAATGACGCACATGTAAAACATGCATTATCAACAACACTCTTTAAAGGGGTCATATGATGCGATTTCAAGTTTTCCTTTCTCTTTGGAGTGTTACAAGCTGATTGTGCATAGATAAGATCCCTGAAGTTGCAAAGACTAAAGTCTCAAAACCAAAGAGATATTCTTTATCAAAGTTAAGACTCAGCCACGCCCCCCTAAAACGGCTCGTTCTAACACGCCTCCACATATCTACCTCACTATGTGGAAATATGTGCATAATGCCGCCCAAATGTGGACGACCGTTTCGTGAACCTAGGAAAGGAGGTAATTCTGACTTTGCTATGACAATCTGGCGCTTCTGAATCAGCTACTGTTTTGTTATTAGTTTAAGATACGGGTTAGTTGTCAGTTTGTCAGTCCAGGGAATATTTAGAGTAAAACATTTGAGGGTTTATTATAGAGTCAATAATAAGAATCATTATTAGTAATTGAGCACTGTGAAATCGTAATTATTCCTAACTTTTGACCAGCAATATAATAACATTTAATACTCAAACGGACTTAAATGTCTCATAATAATCTGCTAGATTTGGTCAATTGTGGTCCATGAGCAGCTGGTCCAAAACATAAGTGCTTCACAGGAGGCTTCAAATGCCAAATGATGGGCTTTACAGGCTTTGAGGACAGTGTGCATTTAATCATTTGTTCTGTTTGGTTGTTTTATCTGCTTTATCCCATGTCTCAGTGGACTGCATTGTCTCAGTGATTTGATGTAACATATTGGATGAGCGCCAGTGTGTCAATAGTCATGCAAATGGTTATTGGTCAGTGCATGTATGCAAGTGTATGCATCACCCTTTCTCCAGCACAGTGGTTGCCATGGCAACGGAGCTGTTCAGTAATACTGAAATCGCTATAGCAACAGAACAGTACCATATTTTTAGTTCTTTTCTCTAGCTCTGGGGATCATTGGCCTACATACGTTAATTACGCCTCCTTTAAAATGTTAGGCAAATATCAAATGAATTCATCCCCAACCTGAAACATATGGGAGATATGTGCCGCTTACATAATTACTGGTTTGAAGTATGCCGCTGGCTCATTTGGAGAGTTAACATTTGCATGCTCATTATAGGTACTCGGCTGTGCTCTGGTATAGTTCGATTCATTCTATTCTACCTTTGTTCTCTCTGTGTTCTTAAGAATAGAGCATTGTGAGGGCAAAGTATTGCTTGGTTTCTTTAGTCTTTTTCTCTGAACTGAGTCACACCTTTTGAGGTCACATTTATACGCACACACATTTGTAAATATTTGTCAGTCATCATTTTTTTCAGCTTTCCAAGTGCCAATGTGAGACGCTTTTTATAAAGACAGTTTCTAGCTTGTAAAGAAAATAATATAAATGAACATTTATAAAACAAAGAAATAAAAGTGTAAGTTACAATTATATATACTTTACTTTTTTTAATTAAATTTAAAATGCAAAACTGGAGCATGTTCACTAACATTTTATAAAAACATTTATAAAATAAATAATTTTTATAAATAAGACATTTCTAAGTAACTAAAAAGTTACAATTTTATTTGAATAAAAAAATCAAATTCACTTAATTTATTATGCTGAAAATATTATTGTTCTAAATTTAAAATGACACATTTTCACTGTATATTTTATGTTTTTTAAATCAAATTTATCAAATCAGTTTTATAAATAAATAAATAAATAACACATTTATAAATAAATGGAAAGTCTATAAATGAATGAATAAATAAATTCACTCAACTCACTCAAATTTATTATGCTGAAAATATAATTTACAGTGAACAAAACTGTTACATTTAAAATGTAAAACAGAAGCATTTTCACTATATAACATTTTATGAAATAAACTTTATAAATGAGGTATTTATAAATTATTAAAAAGTTTATAAATATATTAATTCACTCAATTCACTCAAATATACTTTGCTGAAAATATAATGGACAAAACTGTGTTAGAATTTAAAATGCAAAATAAAAGCATTTTCTCTAGTGGGTTTTTGGACCTCATTGAATATATGTTGAGAGAGAATAACTATTGCTTCAGGTATTCATTAAAGTTAAGTGATACTTTCATGTATTAGGTCAATTTCATAATCCAGGAAAGGGAATTTCAAGAGTGATCCTGTATTTGTCATCAGTGTGATTCAGTGTAGCAGCAGGGTCATTACAGAGGTCACTTCATCGGCTTGTTGGAGATCAATATTTAATCCCATTTCAGTTCCACTGAAAGCATGTGTTTGTGGCCATGATTCTTCATATGAAACTTTCAGACAGGTAAGTAAAAGACACTAGCACTGCTTCACGATAACTATAGCCAACATCAGTGTCACAGGTCAACACTGTAGCAACGGACAAAGGGGGGAGGGAAATTATTCTAGCAGAATTCAAGCAGACTAAAGGGCAGCCCATGTTCACACCAAGAACGATAACTATAAAGACAACGATATTAGCCTCCACACCAGCGAACGATATCGTCTGTTTATTCTAAGCACACACTCTTCTGCTGCTTTAAATTCTCAAGCTCGTTATAGCAGGATGGATTCTGATTGGCTGTCAATTTTTTATCGCTCATCAGCTGGAAAATAATCGTTTTGAAAGTGATTCCAACGATATCGTTTCTCTTTGTCTTTATCGTTATAGTTGTGGTGTGGACTCTGCTATTCTTTAATATTGAGAACGATTTTTAGAACTATATCTTTATCGTTATCTTGATAGTTATCGTCCTTGGTGTGAACGGGCCTTTATTACAGTAAATCTCAACCTTTTGGCGTACCGAACCCCAGTCCAATTCAGAACAATCCTCAAGGACCCCCAGAACAAAATTGACTCATCTCTGTATCATTTGTGTCTTTGTGAGGACCAAATGCAGTCAAGTATAATTCAAGTTAGCTGACTTGTCCAGTATTTGGCCATATCATCAGCTATATTGGATTTTTCTTTCATGGGAACATGTCATGTCAAAATATACAAAATTTATACAAAAATTCATATTTTATACAGACCCCCTGGCCTTACGTCAAGGACCACTGGTTGAGAAACACTGCTTTATTAGACATAAACACACCGTGACATGGCCAGCCGTATGGGTCATGAATGCCACTTTAGTGTTTGACCACAGCCAGAGAGTGTGAGAGAAAACCAGGCCAAGAAAGAATTAGAATCTTACATAAGCACCGCCATGACGTAAACGCCGCTCCCATATAGCATGAGCTGGACTGTGTTGACTACATTCACTGACTGTGCTGTCAACATGTATTTATTCAGGCCTGCCAATTACACTAACAAGATCAACTAAATCTATCCACGACGTGTTTCTGATCAGCTACATTGACTTGGCTTATTATTTCATTAACGTATAGCTTCAAATGATCAGGTGATTCTGTTTGTGCAAGAAACTCTTTGAAAATTCTTTGTTGCTTTGCAAGGTAAAAAGACTATTATGTGAGAAGTGCATGAATAAAGAAATGATTGAGGAATACATTTAACTTCCTATCCCAGTCCTATTTCTCATGTGATGTGTGTATTGTAATGTGACTATTCTGTCAAACCAGCTCAGCCCAGCTGAACCCCTCGGCAGGCAGAAAGAAAGGGCAATGTTGACTAAGCATTGTTTTTACATAACTGACGCTCTTTGTTATCTACCTAAAATGTTGAAGAAATGGAAGGGGATGCTATGAAGTTGCCTGAAACAGTTTTCAGACAGAGAGGTCCTAAAAAATACAGTATATCAAATTCTCAATTTTTTATTTTTGTATTAAATTAATTTTTATGTTGGCTATTTACCTATTTACTTTTTATTTATTTATTGTTCCTATTAAATATTATTTTCATTTAATTGTATTTTTTTCATTTCTATGATTTCTTGCTAGAACATTAGCCATTAATTTTACAG